GCTGTGGAAAACATAGCCCTCCGCACGGCCACCGACGCGCCCTGGTACGTAAGAAACACTGACATATTACGAGACTTACAATACACAAACGCTACACAGACAATAAGACAAAACGCGGAGAAACGATTTGACGTAGCCGCTAGACATGACAATCCCCTCCTCAGGCAAGCCGTTGACTACGTACCCGACGTGACCGACAAACACAAAAGACCTAGACACCAACTTTTTGACCCTGGGTGACCACCCCAATGACCCCCCCCCTGCCCGCTAACCTTTTCTGTTTCAGAGACAGCCAGGATCAAGAAACGAAGACAACGACACACACACACACACACACATACACACCCCCCATACCCTCCTTAACCCTCCCCTCCCGCGCTAGCCTAAGGGCCACCTTAGCAAAGCGCATCCCAGGCTGCATAGCCGCACTACCCTACCCAACCATACCACACATAAACATGACACTACCCCCGGGGTTTACACAGACGAGCCGGCGAAGCAAGAAGAGCGCCAGAAGAAAGGGCCCTAGCCGGCGGGGCCCAGCCAGGACAAAAGGAGGTCCCACAAAGCGCCTACACCGGCCGCATTTGCGGTCGGGGTAGACGACGGATGGGGCCCACCTACGAAGGCTGTCCAGGCCTACACGAGATGAGGCAGGATAAAGAGGGATAATCCCCCTCGATCCCAAATCATTGAGGCCAATTTCTAGCCATAGAATAATGGCGCGCGCTAATGTAAAATTTTGACGTCACACTAAAAGAGTTTATGGTGACCTAAAAAAAGCTCTCGCAATCAGCGACTTCTCGGTATTTGAATACGTTTTGATTTGATTCTAAAAAAATATATGACAAACATATTAGATCTTTTTTTTTCTGGAGAGCCGCAATCGCCGAATCCACTGGTAAAAACGAAACTGTGCCATTATTTCATGGCTAGAAATTGGCCTCAATGATTTGGGGTCGAGGGGGATTATCCCTCTTTATCCTGCCTCATCTCGTGTTGGCCTGGACAGCCTTCGTAGGTGGGCCCCATCCGTCGTCTACCCCGACCGCAAATGCGGCCGGTGTAGGCGCTTTGTGGGNTATGGCTAGAAATTGGCCTCAATGATTTGGGATCGAGGGGGATTATCCCTCTTTATCCTGCCTCATCTCGTGTTGGCCTGGACAGCCTTCGTAGGTGGGCCCCATCCGTCGTCTACCCCGACCGCAAATGGGGCCGGTGTAGGCGCTTTGTCAGACCTCCTTTTGTCCTGGCTGGGCCCCGCCGGCTAGGGCCCTTTCTTCAATTTTTTTCTGGAGAGGGCACCGAACTTTCCAGGGTGGGCCGTACACACCCCAGCCCCCCCCCTCCTAGCTACGCGCTACGCCCATGCAGCATGCATACGACTTACATCGTACATCCACAAATTACGGAATACTTTTCCGTAATCTGTGCCATAGAAAATATAGTACTAACTATATTTTCTATGATGTGTGCTTCAGTGTTGCTAATTGGCGGATAAAAGTCCGATTTTCGGACTTTTTTTTATACGGCGGATCTTTTTCGGATCCTAATATATTTCGGATCTTTTCGGATATTTCGGTGATTTCATTTCAACAAAAAGAAAACAAACCGAAACCAACCAAACCAATGCACAACCGGCCCAACCAAATAAAAAAAGAAATGGTGACGTGAGTTGGCGTCCACAGTTTGATTTAATAGACCGTGGTTGGCGGGTACGAATTTCATTGTGTTAGCTACACTGTTTACACCACAGACCATCGTTCGTTAATGACCGTTTTGTACTTCTGTGGTTCAGTGCTGGTGTCAACCTCATCGTCCTTTATTTTTAATTTTAATTATTATTAGATAGTAGAATAATGGTGATATATTGTGTTGTCCTCTACCTAATCTATGGTGTTGTCTGTTATGATTTAAAAATGGATTTGTGGCTTGCGACTTCCAAGGTAATACAATACAATAATAATAAAACAGCCCGATTGTACGGCGTTAACGATATGTTGGCGCGAAATATAAAGAGAATACAATGTTTATTATATTCACAAATCAATACAAAACCCATCACATTTTTAATGTTAATTTTATTTATAGTCTAAACTGCCTTTGATGCAACCAGCTGATGAACAACCTGGCTGCAGTAAAAACTTGGAAAATGGAAATCTTATCCCTGATATCATTGTAAGTGTCATCAAATTCAAATATGTATATTGGAAAATCGTGTCAGTCAATAAATTCAAAATGTATTATACGATTTTTGTATCTGCTTTAGGTTAGAGTCTCTACAGATAAAATACTTAAGGCTCATGGTCAGCCATCGAAATATAAGAAGAAAAAGTTAACGAAATTTGTCTCTTCATGGTTAAATATGCCCAAATTTAGTGGTTGGCTGGCAAAATCAGAAAAAAGAGATGATGCAAATAATGAATATGTTTTTTGCAAAGTATGCAATAGTGAAATTATTGCACACAAAAGTATTTTGCTAAAACATCAAGCAACGGAAAAACATAAGACTAACTGGCAAAAAGTGTCTACCAGCACAAAAATAACAGATTATGGCATAGAAAACAAACACGATGAAAAGGCTGTGAAGAATGCGGAATTAAAATTATGTGCTCTGTTAGCTAGTTATAACCTACCATTTTTATTGATGGATACACTGCCTTCTCTCTTGAAAAAAATTTTTCCCGATTCGAAAATAGCTCAAAAGTTAAATATTAAAAGATTCAAATCTACCAATATTATGTGTGAAAGTCTGGGTAAATCTTTTTTAGATAATTTGTATGATGCATTAAGGAAGCCAGGTGTTTTTTTCTCAATTATATTAGACGAAACAACTGATATATCTATTAAAAAACAGTGTGCGTTCTCTGTAATATACTTTGACACAGATCGGAATGTAATTAAGAATTCCTTTTTTGATCTATTTGAAACCAAAGGCTCTACAGCAGTTGAATTATATGATGCATTAAGAAATAATTTAATTTCTAAAGCTATTCCCTTGACCAATTTAGTAGGGTTTTCTTCTGATACCACGAATGTTATGGTGGGGGAACATAGCTCACTCTTTTCAAATTTAAAAAAAGATTTTCCCCATATAGTCTGTGTAAAGTGCTCTTGCCACATGGCACATTTAGCAGCATCAAAAGCATGCCTAAAGCTTCCTAAACATGTAGAAGATTTACTCCGAAATATTGGGAGCCATTTTAACAGAAGCTCTTTACGCAGGAAAAAATTTGAAGAATTTCAAATATTTTTCCATGTTAAAATTCATAAAATTTTATCCCCCTCCATAACAAGGTGGCTTTCAATAAAATCATGTGTGGATAGGGTGCTTGAACAATATCAACCACTAATTGCATATTTTAGAGAATCACTATTTGAAGATCCATCATACATTACAGAGAGTATGTTAGAAGCTTTGAGTAACTCATTTACTATAATTTACTTAGAATTTATGTCATATGTTTTAGGGCTCATGACAGATTTTAATTTACTCTTTCAATCAGAAAAATCCTTACTTTATAAAGTAAAACCGGAAACAGAAAACTTGTTAAGAAATTTGTGTGCAAATTTTATTGATATTTCAGTAATAAGAAAAACCTCTGATATTTTTAAATTAAGCCATATTAATCCCACCAACTTTTTACCACTGGAAAAAATTTATTTAGGAATTTTAGCATCAGAAAGCTTAAAAGAATTAAAAAAAAATCCCCATATTCCACAAGAAGATTTTGAGACATTTTTTAGAAGTATTTTAGCCTTCTATGTAGAATTAGTATCAAATATTAAAGAAAGGTTTCAATTCAGTGATCCCATTTATGAAATTTTAAAGGTAGTAGATCCTAATGAAGCACAATCGTTTAATATTAAATCGGTAAACAACGTTTTAGAAAGATTCCCTATTTTAAAAGATTATGTGGATTCTCAGGAATTGGACAATGAGTGGCGAAGACATGCTCTTTTAAATTTAGACGATTTGCAAATGTCAATGAATGAACCGGATATATATTGGGGTAAAATATTTAATTTAAAAAATGCTGCTAACGCACCGCTTTTTCCAAATTTAAAAAAGATGTTTTCGCTACTCCTTGTGCTTCCTTTTTCGAATGCTAAAGTTGAGCGTATTTTTAGCGACGTTTTCAATATAAAAACGGATAAAAGAAATCTTTTAAATACAGATACAGTACGAGCTATTTTGGCAACAAAAGAAGGTATTGAGGGTTGTGGGGGATGTGTCAATTTCACACCATCAGAAAAAATGCTACAAAGTAAAATCTGGAAAAAAAAGGATTCAGTGGGTAGTTAAATTATTACTAATGTGTACTGTGTCTTCATGTATTCATTTAGTAATCCTCCAATTTTTTATTGAGATTTGTAGATTTTTTATTTTGTCTTTCTCGTTTGTTTTGTAAACAAAGTTCCTAATTCTTTAGTTCCTTATGTAAACCATAAAAATGTTACTTTGGGATAAAAATGTTGAGTTGTTTTCTATTTATATAGCTTTAATATTTCTGAATTCGCAGAATTATTATTGAAAATATGTATTTTATATTTTCAGTTATTTTTTGTTAAGGTAGTTTAAAAAATATGTTAATCATATTATTATTGCCAAAGACATTACAAAGTATTTTTGTTTTCTATAATAATAAACTTTTTGTTAGTATGAGTTAGTCTTATTAAATACCTTTAATGCTACATGCCAATATATAGAAATATGCAGCATGTGCTTTTTCTATTCAGTCTGTAAACCTCTATAAATGTGTAAAAGTTTATGTTATATGTTTTTATTTTATAATATTTAACGTATATGGAAGCAATTTTTGAGGAAAATTTTGTGAGTGAACTTTTACATGTAATTCGAAGATGTCAACACTGAGATTGCATGCAGAAAAACAATGCACATTTTTATGTGTTGAGATTTAGCAGACTAGTTGCCATATTACTGTTCATATTTAAATTTACCGCCTAATTTAAGTTGGTAATGTAGTTGTCAAACAAAATGGTTTAATTATAGTTATTTATTAGTCTATTTTTGTAAAAATACAATGCTTTATTTAATTTCATATCAGTGGGCGGATAATGTTGGATAAAATCGGACTTTTTTCTGAACGTAGCGGATATTTGGCATTGACGCGTCCAACAACACTGGTGTGCTTACACCGCGAAAAAATAACACCAACAAAACGATCAAAACATTGTAGGTTAGGTGAAGAGTAAATTGTGAATTGTTTTAGAAAGAAATTTGTAAATATGTCTAACAAGAGGAAACCTGATAGTCAAGTACCCGCAGAAGAGAGTGATCAACTTATAATAATGCCTTTGTTGGTTTACGCCAAATAAATTACATTTTCCGTTTAATAATGTATTGTAATTTTAGAGGTGCAGGCCAAGAAGTAGGGAGATCATGTATTATGATAGAATTCAAAGGAAAGAAAATTATGGTATGTTAAAAGTTATTTAAATTATTGAAAAAAATATATATTTACTTTTTTTTTTAGCTTGACTGTGGTATTCATCCTGGATTATCTGGTATGGATGCACTACCTTTTGTAGATTTAATCGAGGCTGATGAAATTGATCTACTTCTGATTTCACAGTAAGTTATAGTTAAGGAAGTATTCAAATGAAAAATCGAGTACTGTCTGGTTTTTAAAAGTACTCGTTCTCGCATACTTGCTGAAAGTACACGAATACTTTTAGTTCTAGATACTCGCTAGGCTACCTAGCAAATATCATGTGAGATGTGTTATCGAGTGCAGGAAATATTCTAATTAATTTAAATTAACTATTGCTTTTGATTGATTTTTAATTATTGTATGTAATAACTTGTAAACAGAAAGAATTTCAAAGATTCTATATATCTAGACCCATATTATGATATTAAAAATATTCATTGGAAACAAAAAACATATTTAAATAATAAAAATTTTTAAAACTATTAAAAAATATAAAATTTAAATAATTCTACACAAAACTATATAATAAAATTGTAAATCTCGCACCTCACTGCGACTACAACTTGCATACAACTTACGTGGTCCGTCCGGCACTCGATTCTCATTTCTTGGANGGGGCCCACCTACGAAGGCTGTCCAGGCCTACACGAGATGAGGCAGGATAAAGAGGGATAATCCCCCTCGATCCCAAATCATTGAGGCCAATTTCTAGCCATGGAATAATGGCGCATACGACTTACATCGTACATCCACAAATTACGGAATAGTTTTCCGAAAATATAGCACTAACTATATTTTCTATGATCTCTGCTTACTCCGCGAAAAAATAACACCAACAAAGCGATCAAAATATTGTAGGTTAGGTGAAGAGTAAATTGTGCATTGTTTTAGAAAGAAATTTGTAAATATGTCTAACAAGAGGAAACCTGATAGTCAAGTACCCGCANTGCGACTACAACTTGCATACAACTTACGTGGTCCGTCCGGCACTCGATTCTCATTTCTTGGATAATCATTTGATTCTTGAAAGTATTTGAGAACAAGTACTCAATTCTCAAAAATACTGGATTGTGCCCATTACTACTAAATCATGAAATTGAAATAATTTTTACTTTGAAGGTATTGAGCCAATTCAAACAAATACAGCAAGACCCCGTTTAACGCTGTTTCGTTTAGCGCTATTTCGGTTTAGCGCTCTTTTATTTCAACCCGGGAATTCCGCGAAATTGCTCGCAGCACTACGGGGATTCCCCAAAATTGTGCGCAGCGCTAGGTTTCCAAATATGTACATAACCTATCCGAAACAGTGTAGTTGTGTTTCTTGTTTGGTGTGGTGCTGTACGGACGCATTTTCATCAGTTGAAACATTTGTTGACATTATTGTAAGTATAAATTTATATAATACTATATACTATAACGATTAATACAGTGACAAATATTATGATCTTTAGTTTTTATCATGGGTGATGATGAAAAACAAGACAGATACAGAACAAGAAGAAAAACAATTTGTTGAAAATGATCCAAATTTTGACAAAAGTTCAAAAGCAAGATGGGGTGTTATAGATGCTTTATCCCCTTATCAACAACTTCTAACAGAACGCAAAAGGAAAACGCAAACTACATTAGATGTCTTCTTGACAAAAAGGCAGAAAATTGGAAACACAGAATAGACTGAATAATCTGACTGACTTAGAATTTTATTTGTTTTTATAAGTAATATTCGTTTATATTGTTTTTATTTTTGTAAGAAATAAATGTTTGGTTTTATTTTTATTAAAAAAAAACATAATTATTAAATTTAATACCTAACCAATTTTCTATCCATCTTCCCCTAACCTCATTATTTACATGTTAAGATAGCCTCGTTTAGCGCTGTTTCGCATTACGCTCTACTTTGATGGAACGTATCCTACGTGTTAAGCGGGGTCTTACTGTATATATATTTTTAATTTTAAATCATTAAAAGAAACTGAAATACATAAATCCTTAAATGCAAATTTTAAAATTTTCAGCAATTTTCTCAAATAACAAATATTGTATCACTTAACTCCAATATTTCTTAAGTATTATTAATGGTGTTATCTTTTTTAGTTTTCATTTAGATCATTGTGGAGCATTGCCTTGGTTTTTACAAAAAACTAGTTTTAAAGGAAGATGCTTCATGACACATGCCACAAAAGCAATTTATAGATGGTTACTTTCAGATTACATTAAAGTTAGGTAGAAAATTGAATAATAATAATTGTCGAGCAATTTTGTAAAAAGTTAATTTCAGCAATATTGCTACAGAACAAATGTTATATACTGAGGCAGATTTAGAAGCAAGCATGGATAAAATAGAAACAATAAACTTCCATGAAGAAAAAGATGTATTTGGTATCAAATTTTGGGCTTATAATGCAGGACATGTCTTGGGGGCTGCAATGTTTATGATTGAAATTGCTGGAGTCAAAGTAAGTATTAAATTTTGTAATATTAAGAACAATCCAACAATAAATAAAAATACAATTCCGCAATAATGTGTAAGCTTCATTCTGAAAATACACTATCTTTTTACATATATTTTTATTATAGATCTTATATACTGGGGATTTTTCTCGTCAAGAAGATCGACATTTAATGGCGGCAGAAATCCCAACTGTCCATCCAGATGTTTTAATAACGGTAAAAATAATTATTACTAACAACATTAAATTAAATATTTGATTTATTTAAGGAATCAACATATGGAACTCACATTCATGAAAAAAGAGAAGATCGAGAAAGTCGGTTCACAAATTTAGTACATGATATTGTAAATCGAGGTGGAAGATGTTTGATACCAGTTTTTGCCCTTGGTAGAGCTCAAGAGTTATTATTAATTTTAGGTAAACTAATTATGTTTTACCTGTACTTGTTTTTAAAACAATCATTTCTAGATGAATACTGGAGTCAACATCCTGAACTGCACGATATTCCGATATATTACGCATCATCTTTGGCAAAAAAATGTATGGCAGTGTATCAGACTTACATAAATGCAATGAATGATAAAATTAGGCGACAAATAGCGATTAATAATCCGTTTGTTTTCAAACATATTTCAAATTTAAAGGTAAGAATACAGAGTAGGCCATTTTAATCGATCCACGCAAATATCTCCAACAGTGTAGGTTCTCTATATAAAAGTTTTAGGATTTGATAGTGGAAAACTGTTACTGACCTTAAATTTGACCGTGAGGTCACCAGTCAAGGTGAGAACCCCTATTTTTGACCTCGAAATTGAAAAGGGGAAAATTTTACGTTTAGATTGTGTCTTTTTTCATGGGTCAAAATGACCTCATAAGGTCATTCTGGGGACATCAGATTTGTCTATTTTGCAATAGATACGATGAATAACCAATATGGCTTCTGTAAAATAAAACAATTTTGACACTTTGAGCACTGCCCCACTATGAGCTTAAAAGAAAGAGAAATAAAAATAACATTTAAATTTAATTCTGTTGTCAAACATGAAATTTCTTAAAAGTAGTGACTAACATACATGAATAAAAAATATGTACCTATATACTTTAGAAAAAAAACTGATTCTTGCATCTCAAGAACAGTGAAAGATATAGAAAAATGATGTCTTGTGTAGAAACCAAATGTCATTAAAATCTCTTTATAACCTACAGTTTATTCCACAAGAAAAAAGGCGAAATTTTTTCAAAAGTTGTCATGATATTTATTCCAGTTTTTATACATGAAAATTTACGTAAAACACAAAGACGCAGTTGATTAATAGACAGTATAATCCTCACCAGTATTGAAAATGGCCTGGCACCTTGGGGCATGCTTTCAACGAGATTTTCATCATAACTTGTAGGACGATCACGCCAAATCTTTCGAATTGAAAGCTGCTTCAGATCGTAAACAGGCTTTCCTGCAAGCTGGGCTTTCATAATGGCCTATACGTTTTCAATAGGTTTACATTGAGAGATTGGGGGGGCCAATCCATGGTGACAATGCCATTTTCCTCCTTCCAGCCGCGACAAAGGCGGATCCGATGCTTCAGGTCATTGTTCTCTTGTCCTCATTTTATTTATCGGGTGCAAACATCTTGACTAACTTCAAAAGGCCACTTTTATAAAATCTGAGAATTTTCATCGAATCCAAATTTTGCTTAAAGAACTCCAACTACACAAATCCGCTCTCTGAGAAGCATCTCTGGACGTTCACTTTTACAGGGTGTTTGACGTATGTTGAATGAAATCGGTACTACTTGCTAATCAGGCATGCTTCAGCCAAACCCACACCCAGAAAGTTGCTTTTTCTGAGAAAACCACCTTCGACCACTCGCGATATTTGTTTTCGCTCGCCAACTCAGTAATTTCTGCTTGTGAGTTGTGCTAAGCAGGGGTTTCAAGCTAGTAGAGCGATATAATAATTTTGCTTAGTGCAAACGTCGCCTGATCGAGATTAGGCTAACATGAATTGCTAATTGGTAAGTTTGATCTTGGCTTGCCGCAGATGCAGAGTGGGATGATTCCTAAACAACAGCACACTTCCTTTCTTCTGTTTGCTGGACGTCGCTCAAGAAGATCATTAACATTTTTTTAATTGTGTTACTTCACCCAGTTCTCAATTAACTTCTTTGAATATTTAATTTGGCAGTAGCAGCATAGGACAATTGAGGTCAAAACGTTTCGCGTATGCGGAACTCATTTTGAGAAACGATCGTTCTCTTGAACATTTCAAGTTTCGAGTGACACTGAAATGAATTAATAATGACATTGTAACCCAGTGGAACAGACTGTACTGGGCAAGATTAAAAAAAAACTTGTTTTCTAGTTTTCATTATACTTCAAGAACTAATTGAAATATATCTGATATGATGTCAAGAAAATTTTTAGTAAAATATTTAAAAACTTTTTATAATTTAAGCCATCTCTAATATGTAAACACAAATTCCCAATATTTTTCCGTTATTTCTAATCCAGTGTAAATAAAAATTTGCTTTTAGTAAAGCTAAATGAAATATATTTAAATAATAACTAGTTTGCCCCAAAAAAAATTATATATTTTATTAATACAAAAATTTATACAGTAAAAACAATCTTGATAATTGTGATGACTAATTATTTTATTTCGTGTTGTCTACCAATTTCAAATACATCAATTTCAGGTTTCACTTTGTCATATAAATGTGGAAAAGAACCCTCAGCATTGTATTTTTTTCTAACTTTCTCATATAGGGTTAAATCGAACATTTCTTCAAATTCCTTTCTAGTCATGAATACGTCTGCATATAAGAAAGAAAAACCACCTACATCTCTGGTAAATTTTTCCATAGCTCGCATAGCTGTAACGGAGTTGTATTTTTCTTTTCTTTTAACAAACCCAGGTACACCATATATTCCCAAATCATTATACATTGCATAATTTGTACCTTCTACCAGATACTCTTTTGGAGGTGATCGTATTTGACCTGAATTTGGACCATGGTCATAAATTCTGCATGGATACACTAGAAGTGGATAAGCATCAAATAATTTTTCTGATGTTGTTATTTGTTCCTCTAATTTTCTTATGGGCAAAACTATATCTTGGAAAACTTGTTTAGTAAATGTAAATGCTCTTATACCGGGAGTGGTAGTGAATTTAAGAAATGCTGGTTTTGGGGGGAGAAGCCAACCAAATAATAATCGAAAGAATGGATTATTTCCAAATGGAATCATTGACTCCACCACCCAAAATATTGAGCGGTTGTGTCTCAACAAATATTCTTGTAAGGGTATGAGCTCAGTATGTTTTCCTTTCCTTAGAAATGACTCAGTGTATTTATAAAACCATGGTTTGTACCATCGGGTAAGATAATTTATGGGTAATGAGGGTTCAAAGTCTGCATAGTTTCCAGTCATTATTACAGCTTCTTCATGACTAAATATTGTAGCTTCTACATAGTCGGCTAATGGGTAATCTACTCCTAGGTCACCAGACAATAGTCTTATCATGTCACAATAACTATTTTGTTGTTTCACAGGAACATAAGTCATTTTTATGAAAGGTTTCACTTTAACAACCTTCAAAGTTAATGCAACAAGAAAACTGAGACTGCCATGTGACCATGGTAAGGCTCTAAAGAGATCATCATTCTCCTCTCTTGAAGCTTTAACGAAACTTCCATCACCTAGAATAACCTCATAAGATACTATATTTTCATGATATAACCCAACTTTGTGGGAATGTGTTGTCATGCCAGTGCCCATAGCCAATCCTCCTAGAGTAGCATCAGCTATCTCTAAAGTTACAGCTAAAGTATAACCCTTTGGTATCAGGAATTTTGTGATGTCTCCGACAGTAACCATGGGTTCTACTCTAACAGTTAATTTTTCTTCATTTAATTCTAATATGTCAAATAAATCTACATTTATTTGGTGACATTGATCCTTTCTAAAGAAAGTTGTGGACAAACTCAACCAGTTTGGACGAGAAGTACATAGTAACTTCCTGTCTGCTTTTGGCGACTTGTTCCATAATTGCACTTGCTTCTGTATTTTGCCAACTCGTGTATCATGAAGCTGAGGACTACTGAATAAGGTTCTATAAAGTTTTGTTCTTATAGTTAAAAATAAATCAAAAAGGAAGCTAGCAGGTAAACAGAATAATAAAATCACTAATCCTCGATTATTTTCTAAAATATGTATGATTGTATTTTTCCAAGATGTTGTCATCTGGAATAAATAAACACTTTTTAGTATCATAAATGTAAAAATTATATGAAATTATAAAAAAATGTAATATGTTTAATTGTACCAAAATCTATTCTAATTAATTTTTTCACTATTTTGTTATTAGCAAATTAGCTCCTTTGACAATAAACAAGTTTTATGAACCATCCCATATATCGAAGTCTAACATTTCATTCGGACTAGGGATTAGATAGAAGATTGAATAACGTACAGAAGAAAATTTTCTTTTAAAACTTACTTGAATTTAACGAAAATATTAATATTTTCTGAGCATATAAAAACAGAAAGTAAAAGAACAGAGTAACTTACGATCCTTCCAGTTCAATTTCTAACCTATATTTTTATATTTGACAAAACTATTGATATCCTATTTAATAGAACTCGTCATTTATTTGAATATTATAGAATTAAAAGGTAGTTTTTTGCCAACATTTAAATAATTAACTCTTTATTACTTATCAATATCATTTCAAGTTATCTTTAATTTAATTGACCTTGAAAGTCGATTAAATTCACTCCTGTTACAAGGCGGACAAAATACAATATTTAATTTATCGAATTCCACTTAATCCGGCTTTATCTAAATTTAACAATTTGTATAACAGATAACTAAGTTATTGTCTACATCATTTGATAAAATCTGTCTTATACAGCGTGTAAAATTATTGATCGACCTTAAACGCGGAATCTCACACATTCATAAATAAAAGTCCTTATAAACGGTTTATACAGGGTGTTTATTAAGTACTTGTACAAACTTTAAAGGGTGAATCTTTGACTAATTTAAGATAGAAAGTACATATGAACATCCGCAATGGCTTGGTTCTTGAGATACAGGGCGTCCAAAATAAAATTATTTTAAGTATATTTTTGTTTTTCGAATTTTTATTTTTTTCTAATTTTCTCTAATTAGGTGATAGTAATTTATAAAGTGATAGTGTAACATAGCACATGTTTTTCACTTACTTTTCAAAAACTGTCAATGATTCAAAACTTACAAAATCCCAACGCAGGTTTAACTTTAACCCGTTTTTCTACAAAACGGCTGCTTTCAGTGACAAATAATACTGAGAGTACTTTTTGTACGCCAAATTGAATGGTATATTTAGTCAAAAATGACATACAGTGTGACACAAAAAAGTTATGGTTATTTAAATCCAGGTACAACAATGTATGTGGCGCCCTTTAACATTAAACAAAAAACTGAGTAAATATTTGAGTTTCTCATGATTAATACTCCCAGTTTTCCGAATTTCGTCGAATTGGGATGTTATTGAACAAAAATATCAAAATACCAAACCAAACAAAAAATTTTTTCTGGTCATTCTATATCTCAAGAGCATATAAAATGCGTTCATATCAACTTTTTATCTTAAAATTAATTAAGTTTTTCAAGTATTTAAAGTTTGTACAAGTACTTAATAAACACCCTTTATTATTACATTGAAATTTGGTATGAAACTTTGTTTTGTTGTCCAAAAGGATACACATACAGATACCGAGCGCCCTCGCCCTGTATAAGATGGATGTTTCCATAGCTTTCGGTAGTATCATTGTTGCGAAAAAGATGTACCAAATAAAGATTGCTCTAAATCAATTTCTGTATGTTTTAAAATTATTTTCAATTATACAAAGTATCTTATTTCTTCTTGGCCTACCTAATTTCATTTTTTCAAATTCAGCACTTTCGTAATTTAAAGCCTGCTATAATAAATAGATATTGAGTGTCAGTCATACCGTTGGTTGTTTAAGTTATACTTGAAAGGTATTACATTTACAAAAATAAATTAGATCAAATTTGTTTCAAATAAATCAAGTGATCTATAACAGGTGACCATATTGGCACATATTACATGTACATATAACTTTCCCCATATTTAAGGAAAAAAATTTAAATTAATCTTTCCCCATTCGAATGGCCACAAATCCATTGGGAGGGGGAGAGAGATTTTTTTTTGACATGAAAGACCCATCCTTAATTTTAACAAGGAATCCTTAATTATTTTGCACTTATTTATATCATGTACAATGGACATAACATTTTAAGAAGTATACTAAGAAGATATTATTTTGTTTTTAGATTAATTAATTTATTATTCATTTGACACGGGTGCCATTATGTCTGCATAAATAAAACTTAAATTGGATATTTCAGCTAAAAGATATTTTATTTATTATTATAATTATCTATATTTAGGGAATTGATCACTTTGAAGACATAGGTCCATGTGTAGTAATGGCATCACCAGGTATGATGCAAAGCGGTCTCTCTCGTGAGCTGTTTGAATCATGGTGTACAGATGCCAAAAATGGAGTGATCATTGCAGGTAAATAAATATGAAAACAACAATAAAGCAAACACATTAATGAACTTAATAAAATAATCCACCAAACTTTAATGACGGATTCTATACCATAAAACAAAAGAATTCTGATAAATTAATAACAGTTCTTAATTCAAAATCGGTACACATCCTGTGTACCGATTGGACTTGATTGCCATAAGGTTTGTGGAGTAAACAGCAGTACTAATTTGATAAGAAAATTTAGATCGCCCTGTATATTGAAGTTCAACGACTGACTTCAATTTCCATATTGATATCAAACAAAATAATTTTTTGAGTTTTTTTTCATATGTCATAGTTTCATGGCACTTAGAATATGTCATTAAAGTTTGACAGTACATTTCGTTAACACCCTATATAAAACAAATAAAATAATGATAATTTAAAATGCGGAATAAAATAACAGTTCTTTGTAAAATAGGTGTTTATGCAACTAGTGCAAAAGTATGTGTTGTTAACTATCTTATCTATCTGTATAAAATAATGGCTGTGTTCCGCAAACTATTAGAGTAGCTCTGTCTAATAATTCGCTGAACATGTTTTAAAAGATCAATCAGTTCAGATGTCCCCTCTCACCTATTTAAATATTTGTTTTGTTCGAGTTATTTTCAAATCCAAACCTAAAAGTCCGCACTCCTTTTGTTGCTGAATGATCGTGACCGCAGTAGTTACATTTTAAAACATGCCCAATATTTTCAGTCATTTTGACCTGTTCAAACATTGTTAACATTTCTTTTACAGGTTATTGTGTGGAAGGAACGTTGGCAAAAACTATTTTGTCTGAACCTGAAGAAATAACGACTATGGTAGGACAGAAATTACCTCTAAAAATGTCTGTAGATTATATTTCATTTTCAGCTCATACGGACTACCAACAAACAAGCGAATTTATACGTATTTTAAAGCCGCCCCATGTGGTAAGTAATTTTCATGATAGAACATTCGTGATTTATTTCTATTCTTTTGTTCATCAAATTTAATAAAAACAATTATTAGTTCGTTGATATTTATTTTTAGGTCGCTCGAAAACATTTTAGGTACACTACTTTGAAAGTTAAAATAATTATGACCTTTAGAAATTAAAATATCGATTTGAAATTTTCAGAATTGTGATTTTTTTCAACCTAGAAAATGATAAAATAACGAGAAAAATAAATTCTATTTTTGACGATTTTGGAAATTTTTAAATATCTTGAGCGACCTCTAAAAAAATTTTTTTTGAGCTGACTTTTTGAGGAGGCTCTTAAAACATGATAAACTAACATATTTTCACAAGACACGAACAAAATATTCCTTCACAAGACACGAAAAAAAAAATATTCGTTTTTTTTTTGGGCCACCCTAGTGCATATGTACATATTTAATAAAAAATGTATATTAATTATTGGAAATTCAAGGTTTTAGTTCATGGAGAACAAAATGAAATGAATCGTTTAAAAGCAGCTTTACAACGTGAATATGAGGACGACCCAAACACAACCATTCATTTACACAATCCGAGAAATACGCATGCAGTAGAATTATATTTCAGGGGAGAAAAAACAGCTAAAGTAATGGGAAATCTAGCTATAGATGAACCTAAGCCGGGAAGAACTTTGTCAGGAATTTTAGTTAAAAGAAATTTCAATTATCATATACTATCTGCAGATGATTTGTCAAGTAAGATTCTATTTACTTATATACTTTTTCAGCGTACCCAGAATTGAAAAAAGTTTTTTATACCAAGGAATCAGATACTAATTCACAAAATTGTCAAAAAATTATCCACAATTTGTCATTTAAATATTCTGCGTAAAGTAGATTTAAATTTCTTTTTTGATGGAAAATTGGTAGCACTGTTGTCCATTCTGACGCGAAGTTTGAGTGTGATCTGTCAAATAATTTGTTTACAGCTGTTAATTTTGTTAGTCCACCTAAAGTGTGTTCCCCGATTTTGACTATGGACAATGTTATTGAACCTACGTAAAATTTTGTATTACCAACAGGATTTCCTGTGCTGAATCATAAAAAATGTTGGGAAAAACGTATGGTAATTTAGTTTTATAGAAAACTGAAGCATACGAATGGTACAAAGCATTCGAAGATGGTCGAGAAGTGGTTGATGATTTGCAACATTTTGGCAATCTTCAAGTGAAGGAAACGTCGATAAAGTGAAGGAAATGGTGCTTATAAACCATCATTACAGTTTGAGCGAGCTGGCATATGAACTAAACCTATCTCTCAAATCAGTTCGCTCCATTTTAGTTGAAGTTTTATGTATGAAACGCGTCGCAGCACAGCTGGTTCCAAAAAAACAGAATTTTCGCAAAAAGAGCATCGTAAACATGTTGCTGACGACATGCTTGAACGAGCTAATTCAGATTCTACATTTATGCAGCACGAAAAATTAAAGTCATATTGACTGTTTTCCTTTTAACTATCCTGGTGTTGTCCACACAGAATTCCTTCCAGATGGAGAAACAGTCAATAAAGAATATTATTTGGGCATTATGAAGCATTTGAGAGAGAGTATCTGCTGCAAAAGACTAGATTTATGGAAGGACAATTATTGGATTTTGCACCACAATAATGCACCATCACACGTAGTGATAATTGTGAAGAAGTTTTTGACCAAAAACTCAATGAATGTTATCGAACAGTTGCTAATTTTTTCCTCTTTCCCAAACTCAAATTACCAGTTCACAGAACACGTTTCGAGTTATTCGAAGCCATAAAACAAAAATTGCTGAAGAAGAAGTCCATCCTGGAATATGCGTTTAAATGTACTTTGCCACTGGGCTATCCATTGGAAAAAGTGTATTGGTTCAAATAAAGCCTATTTTGAAGCAGACAAAATAAATTTTGATGATTAATTAAATATGTATATGTATTGTGTTCTATTGACAAATTCCGGATACTTCTTTGACAGAATGTACAAAACAAAATAAATCACATAATTTAAAAATAATCAACTGGGTGCTCTGATTTTCTAAGTGGAAAATGTCATAGAAAAAGTTTATTTTTAGAATATACAGATCTCAGTATGAGCCAGATAATGCAGAGGCAGAGTATACATTATTCTGGTAATATGGGCGCCCTGCGTTATCTTATATCACAAGTAGCTGGTTTGCTTGAATCTATAGATACTGACAAAAAAATGAGAGCTTTCAATGCCATCGACATTACACTTGACCATAAAATAGTTACATTGGAGGTAATTTTTTTTATTTTCATCATATACGGAAGTCATTTATAACTACAGTAAAATTTACTTGTAACTTACTTATTAGTAATTAAAATCAGTATGTTTAATGAAAATACTAGGACGCCTATTTTTACAGCCATACCATGCGGATCTCAGTTATTGTAAGACAAGTCGGTCAAATTAGGACAAAATTGTGGAATTTAGCAACGAATAACATGTTGAACAGAAATTTAACGTATCTCTTTTTGGTTCGAAGTTATTGATAATAACTGAAAAATGTTTATTCAATTTCTAACAGATTTGCTTTCTGAATTGTTAGATGGCGTTGTACCGCAATATTCATTCTAATTTAAAAGTTCACTATAAACATTATAATAGATAAAATTCAATTGTATGAATTCTATTCAAAAATTTTGCCATTTACACGTATTAACAGCCTCTACTATCCAAAACAATTTCGTTCCCCAGGGAGCATTCTATTCTCTCACCGTCAAGAATCGAGCTCCTGGCCAAACTTACCTTAGTCCAAAAGTTGATAGTAATGGAGTTACAGGGTGACAAAATCAAAATTTTATTAAATTTTTTTAAATAATTTTTGAAGTAATTGATGTACATATTTAAACGAAGTTTGGTATCTCTTGGTTTTTAGACATGAAAAATTCACATTTTTCCGTGATTCTGGCTTTGTCACAGAGGACTTATCCCCTTTCTGCCTCTGTCTAAAAAATACATCGTAATCTATTTCGAGAAGTTCCAATTAACCACAAAGAACAAAAAAAAATTTGATAATTAAATTTATTTTATACTTTATATTTATATGGAATTTCGCCACTGGAAATGACCCTATTAAGGGTTAATAATAAAACTGCATTGCTTTGAAATTTGTCTAGCTGTTTATGTATAGGGAACCATTCAATTAAATATAAACAATGTTTGAAAGATTTTTATAGGTAACATATTTTCAATGCATACGAGCTTAATAAAACAAAACATCAAATTTTTATGGATTTAGAAGAGGTAGATAGAATATAAGGAATTCGAGTAAGANCTTTTGACCAATATCGTGCATCTGCCATAGTCTATAAAAAAAATACAAAAACGCTTACAAATATGCGAATCCTAGGTAGCTATGTTTATATTAAAAAATTAAAAAAAGTACTTATCGCCTTTTAAGAGTAAACTCCACAAGACCGCGTGAAAATCGAAGTAAACTTTACCCTACGTGAAATTTCCGCATGAAAACAACTGGCGAAGTAATGCAGGATTTGACACGTCTAAGAACCGCGCGATTATATACATTTACACTAACAAGCTTTCGCGTGTGATTGGAACGGGGCGCTCCAGTCGCTCACGATTGAACGTAAGTGTAAATGTACCTAATAACTGAAAAATGTTTATTCAATTTCTAACAGATTTGCTTTCTGAATTGTTAGATGGCGTTGTACCGCAATATTCATTCTAATTTAAAAGTTCACTATAAACATTATAATAGATAAAATTCAATTGTATGAATTCTATTCAAAAATTTTGCCATTTACACGTATTAACAGCCTCTACTATCCAAAACAATTTCGTTCCCCAGGGAGCATTCTATTCTCTCACCGTCAAGAATCGAGCTCCTGGCCAAACTTACCTTAGTCCAAAAGTTGATAGTAATGGAGTTACAGGGTGACAAAATCAAAATTTTATTAAATTTTTTTAAATAATTTTTGAAGTAATTGATGTACATATTTAAACGAAGTTTGGTATCTCTTGGTTTTTAGACATGAAAAATTCACATTTTTCCGTGATTCTGGCTTTGTCACAGAGGACTTATCCCCTTTCTGCCTCTGTCTAAAAAATACATCGTAATCTATTTCGAGAAGTTCCAATTAACCACAAAGAACAAAAAAAAATTTGATAATTAAATTTATTTTATACTTTATATTTATATGGAATTTCGCCACTGGAAATGACCCTATTAAGGGTTAATAATAAAACTGCATTGCTTTGAAATTTGTCTAGCTGTTTATGTATAGGGAACCATTCAATTAAATATAAACAATGTTTGAAAGATTTTTATAGGTAACATATTTTCAATGCATACGAGCTTAATAAAACAAAACATCAAATTTTTATGGATTTAGAAGAGGTAGATAGAATATAAGGAATTCGAGTAAGAACGCAAGATGTAAAATAGGATTAAAATAGCCCCAAGTCACTTCCCTTCATTTTAAAATTACATATTGGAATAAATTTAATGCTAAGAAAGATGGCTTTAACTAATTTTCATGAAAATATCAAAATTTAAAGAACTAAAACTGCAATTTTTGCATTAATGCAAAATGCAATTGATATATTTGAGCTCGCTCTCTTTTATTCATTTGAAAATTCTATTTTTAGTTTTCATATGGTGTGGCACAGATTTAAACTAGATCTAATAATGGATAGCTTTTAACCTAATATGTTTATAAGCATGCGTGTTATTATGCAAGTTTTACTGTTTTTATAATTCTCGTTTTTTAATAAAACAGCAAATTATTTAGACGAAATATATTTTTAACATAATTTTTGTAGTGGGTTGCTAATCCCGTAAATGATATGTATGCTGACGCAATAGTGGCTGCTATCCTACAGGCAGATTTACTGGAGGTTCCAATAAAGAACATGTCAACATCGGTTAAAGTCGATAGAATGCATTTTAAGGTTAATAGAGCAATTCGACATAAAATTAAAATTTAATACATACATCTATTATTTTAGGAATGTCTTATTGAAATGTTGCAAGACATGTTTGGAGAAGATTCTGTTCCGAAAATATTCAAAGGAGAAAAGCTTTATGTAACAGTAAATGACAAACGTGCTGATATAGATTTATCAAACTTGGTAAGTAATTTTAATCGTCTGATATGAGTGATATATTTTATTTGCTTAACTTTTTTTCTTAGGAAGTAAAATGTCCATCTGATGAAACATTTCAACAAATAGTACACACTGCCGTTACAAAGTTGTACCAGTCTCTAGCACCACCTCAGATTGACATGTGATATTTTTAATTATAAAGTACACAATATTGATTAAAGTTAGTTGTTTTTATATGTAAGTTGTCTTTGATTTACTTAAGCCGATCCTGCTTTATACTGAAGTTGCACCACCTGATAATAAAATTAATAGCCAACTATTTGATGTAATTTTTTTAGTGAATTTGTTTATATGGGAATATTAACTCATTTATTGTAAATCAAGTGCTGTGTTTATTGGATATTCATATATTATTCAAATTTCCGATGTTTAAATAAAGTCAGGAAACAGGACAGTTGAACATTTTTGATCAAATATATGATAATGGACATTTAATAAGTATTTTTACATCAAACAAAAATATGGGCATAACTAGATTGAAAAAAGTGTTTGAATTTTTGCCAATATTAAAATTTTAAAGAATAAATTATGTACTCTTAAAAATGTATTACCTTGGTTATAAACATTGTAAGTGAACTTCCTTGATTCCTCTAGATGGTATTTGTCTGCCTACTATTTTATTATTAAATTATTTTTATTCCACTTCCAGTTTCTTTTATGATGTATCCTGTATATTTTCATGTAGGATAGGATAGGCTGGCTTGAATATGTTATTTTTGATCTCCAGTAGTATTTTTACAGACAACATAGCAATTTTGTCTGGTATTTATAAACATAGTTTATGCCAATCTGGATAATCCTCAAATTTTCATGGAATTTTTTAAATTCCATTAAATATTTGTTCATATCGCCAAAGTTGCCCCTAAGCAGCGCGGGTACGCAGCCGCGCACAAATTTTTCGAATGTTGTGCAGCCGTTTTTGTATTGTGCGCACAATGGGCTTGTTCGCCTCTTTTTAATAATTACTGAAAATTTAATATTTTTCTACATTTAATAATAAAAGTAGTCATTACTTATCAAACAATTATTTTATTACATTCATTTCTATAATATTCCACTAAACACATACTGGTTAAGATTTAGAAATGAAATTTAATTTTAATGTTTATCGCAAAATGTCTTTCAAACATCATATAATAAAGAAATAATAAAAAAATAAAATGAAATAAATAATAATAATAAAGAAATAATATAAACAAAGATATGAACGATAATGTAAAAATCCTTTCTTGTCTGTGTGTTATTAAGATGCTTTAAAATGTAATTTTCAAGAGTATTTATTAAAAAAAAATTTAACTTCAAATACAGGCACTCCCCACTTGCACACTTTTACTTACATACGTTTTGAACATTTTTACTCCCATATACACCTCACAGTCAGCAAAAAAAATTAGAGGGAACATTTGTACATCACTGAAAAGTAAATTCGCTACTACCGCCATTTTATGAAATCTATCTTTACCATCAGTGTCATAATATGTTTGTTTATGTCATTAAGAATTAGTTTATGGTATTAATATTCCCCTTTTCATTTTTTAATCCTTGCAGAAACAAATGTAATTATCACTGAACAACTATTTGATAAACAAAAGCTTAAACGGACAAAACAGTACATAATTTAATCCTATTCAGTTGGACTTTAGTCAGAAAAAGTTGAAAATCCCTCATAAAAAAGCAATCATAATTCATTTAGAAAAATTCTTGAACTTTCCTTTAAATGTCGTGTAATTTGTTTGATAATCGATAATAATTATTACTTTTTTAATAAAATCCAATGGCATCCATATGAAAAAATTGAGTTATTTTCTTGAAAATATTGTTTAAAAAAAGTAATTACACCAGTGAAAAGAAGATTTATTTGTTTAACTATAAACCGATGTTATAGAGAAATGTTTAAGAAATTAATTTCTACTTTTTTAAATTGGAATTGTTTTTCAGTGGAATGTTGCTCAGCAGTTTTGCACTACATTGTTCATGCCTTTCAGTGCCTCTAATAGTTCTTGAGCTTCCAATATAGTGATAATCAATTTGGTTCACCAATGCTTAAAAATTGAAACCAAGTGGGTTAACCATTATGGTTAAAATAATAATAAATTTTGCTTGTCTAAATACTAAATAAGCACAACCTAAATATACGTGGCCATTTTAATTTAGGAGGAAATGGTGTTATTTTAATGAGGCACATTTATTTTCATTTCAAAAAAATATAAATGCTTTTATTTTTGAGCTCCTTACATATGTTTCTAATTTTTATCATTAATGCTAGTAGAATTTAGTAGTAAAATAATATTTGCAAATTTTATATATTACCTACACCTATTATTAGACATCTATTAGAATTTAGCAAAAATTGTAAGTATTTTTCAAATTTTTTTAAATTTTAGCTGATTGAAATGTTATTTCCTCCTAAACCAAAATTCTTATATATTTAGATTGTCCTTATCTGGTATTCGGACAAGCAACGATTGTCAAAAGAAAACATTTTTTCTAAAATCGTGAATAATGTTCCCTATTTGGTGCAAATTTTATAACAACCACTGTATAATATTTTAAACGGTCATACTTTGTTAAATATTTATGTGGAAGATGTCCACAAAAAATTTAGGAAATAGTAATGATTAAAAAAGTGGAAACTAATATAGAGCTTATTATATCTTCACCAGCTGAAAGCATTTTTAAATCTATCTGGAAAATCAGCAAATATATGTATGTACTTTTTACCCAAAATTTAATACACACTGAATCAAGTAAGTAGCTAGAGAGGTACTATGGAATGAGAAGGCCCGAGCAACTTCTAATTTCAACATGGTTTTGAATCCAGAGCCAGAAGTCACCCGTAGGACCCGACTAGGGTCAAACAATGTTAAGGAGAATAGATAATGTTACGGCAGCGCCGGCTGGTAATCGAAAAAATCACCGATCTATCGAAATCACCAATGCTATCCACAAAACTTGTTACTGTTCCCAACGAGCAGAACCACAGCAGATGTAATCGATGCGAACAGAATAGAATTTCGCAGAGCTATATGCAGAGAAACCGCCTCAGTTCCGAATTTTGGGAAGTTAAATGTTTACCAAACAACGAAATGCGAGCTGACGTAGGGCAACATGAAGACCAGGCGCCATACTGACTAGCAAGCCCAGATGCTAGTTCGAGTCGAGTCAACTCCAGAAAGCGTAACATTCAGAGAAGACAAATGTGTGAAGGAGAAAATTCCTGCAGGACCACGGTGGAACCACCATGAGATGGTAGTGAACTTTGACTCTGGTAGTCAGTGTTTCATTAATTAGAGCAACGTTCCTGACCAGTACTCAGTGCACTCAAAAGCTTGTATGCTCTTTGTATTGTAGACACTCAGTCAACTCATTATTATTGTTAATACATTCCCAATAAACCCATTTTCTCAACTCAAAATATTGTTGAATATTTTTGGGAGGACGGAATACGACAATGCTGTACATATTTGATATTACCAAGATATTGCACCATAAGAATAATGTGTTTAAAGTTCCTAGGTAGGTACTGACAGGGATTTTAATTGTATTAAACAAAAGCTTGATTATCTAGAAAGTGGAAACTGTTAATAATCTCTCTTTCCAGCACTTAAGCTACACCAATTTGGCCATAACTCTATTCCATACTGTGGGAAAAGGTAAATATACAGGATATTAATTAATGACACTTCCAGTTACATGAACGTGGTAACGATTATACAGGGTGTTAGTAAATAAGTGCGACTTTCAGGGGGTGATTCTACATGAGAAAATAATGGCAGTTTGCTTATAAACGTATGTCCGCAACTGACGATTTAATTTATTGCTCGTCTTCATCAACGTTTGCGCGAAAATGGTTCATTTAAGAAACAAACGGTTGACTGTGGGCGCCCTCGAGAAGTACGAACTGTGCAACTAGAAGAAGCAGTTCTCGAGTTAATTACGGAGTCACCTGAACCAAGTATTTGAAAAATTGCCAACATATTGAATGTAAGCAACTTAACTGTATTTAAAATTCTTAAAGAACAGCAATTGTATCCGTTTCATATTGAACGTGTGCAAGCTCTACTACCTAGAGACTTTTTTCCGCGCCTATTTTTTTGCCAATGGATTAATCATCAAATCGCTCAAATTCCTAATTTTTTAAATGCCGTTTTGTTTACTGACGAGGCTACTTTTGGACGACAGTGTATACGAAATTTCCATAACAATCACTTATGGGCTGAGGAAAACCCCCATGGAATCTTTGAAGCTCATTTTCAGCATCAGTTTTCCGTAAATGTATGGCTTGGGGTAATTGATGATCATTTAATCGGTCCATATTTCCTCCCACAACGACTAACAGGCGAATCTTATCTTAATTTCCTACAGGAAGAGTTACCTGTTCTTCTTGAAGAAATTCCTCTACAGCTGAGACAACACCTATGGTACATGCATGATGGTGCACCAGCCCATTTTAGCATTAATGTACGTAATCACTTAGACACAGTATATCCAAATCGTTGGATAGGTAGGGGAGGTACGGAACATTGGCCTGCTCGATCGCCGGATTTAAATCCTCTTGATTTTTGCATTTGGGGTTTTCTTAAGTCATTAGTTTATTCCACTCCCGTTGAAAATGTTGATGACCTGAGGAATCGAATTATAGTCGGCTGTGAGACAATAAGAAATATACCAGGAATATTTGCGCGAATACGACAATCAATGAGGCGAAGAGTTGAATCTTGTGTCACGTCTGAGGGAGGTCATTTTGAACATTTGTTGTAGCTTTGCGCCTTTTCAAAATTTTATTAGTGTTATTTTCTGTTATTGTTCTGGTTTAATGTTATTGTATTAGATAGTTCTTGATAATGTATTAAAGAAATAAAAAATACGCGTTAAGATGTTTTATTTTTTTGCATCAAAACGGCGCCCCATACGAAGAAAAGGCAAGAGAGATTTTTTGTCACAAATTGAACGAGGAATTCAAAAATAATTTTTAATTTGTAATATCTCAGTGGCGTACCATTTTTTTTCTTTAAAAAAAATTGAGATTATTACCCGTACGCGCGCCAATGATGAACATAAAATTTTTAATTGCGTGTCAAAAAATGCGCAATAACTACCTCTTAAAACCCACCAAATATCATTTGCACATCTCGACCGGTTTCAGAGCAATATCGTCAGTTTTTAAGAATAACTTTGACACCCCGTATCTCGGAAAACGAATCATTTGCGGACATACGTTTTTAAGCAAACTGCCATTATTTTCTCATGTAGAATCACCCCCTGAAATTTGTCGCACTTATTTACTAACACCCTGTAGATACATTATGACTCCCATAGAATGGGTCATTTATAGCTTCTAGGTTCCACAGTTGAAATTAATGGTTCAAATAAAAATTTGTCGATGCTTCATTTCCAAAATACAGGATGCTGAAGTTAAAAAAATTAAACTTATGTGGATACTGATGGAAACATAATTTATAACATTTTTTTTAATTTTATATACCTGATGAATAATGTGGACCTCTATTACCAGGTACAGTTTTAGTTGAATTAGAAAATCCAGTGGCGTGCAAATGTCATTAGCAAAAGACCGTTTTTTAAATAAATGATACGCCACCAACTAAAATATTTTTAAAAAATTGCCAGATGTAGAATGCCCAGATGTTTACTGTAAAAATATTATCTTTTTCATATCCATAAACAGTATCCACAAAATGCACAATTTTCAAGAAAAATGGATTTTAATTCAATACCGAACAATGTATTATAATTATTAGTTACACATGTTACCCAATTTTTATTGTTTTTTAAAGTTATAACAAAATGCTAATAAGTTATAACTGTCAACTAAAAGTATCCAATGATTATGAATACATTGATAATTCATCATTTTGTGCAAGTCGTTCTAAAAACATAACATACAAAATGTTTTTTAATGGGACACCATGTATGTTATTATATCTTATTTCGATAGAACGCTTTTCAGGATTATAGCGATATAAGGTTTGATAAGACTACTTCTAATGATAAGAAAAAAATGATCTTTTAGAACAAGCCTCACATTTTATGGTCCATTCTTTAGTATACGCACCCTGTACTATGCATCAAAATAAGCCACTGGCTTTTTTACGAATACAGCGATCTATCCATATGAAAAAATGAGATGTTCCATTTAAAAAATGAATGATAATTGTTAAGGTTACGTTAACCAAACAGCGTTTCTGATTTCAATTACAACCTGAAATGTTGAAAATCATGGGAGGAAGATTCATACACAACAACTTTGGATTTAAAAATATCACATGATTATATATATTTAAATTACAAATAATTGTTTGCAAAACAAATTAGATAATAATTATGTTTTAAAGATTAATACATCTGTTTACGGGTATTAATATTTAAACTACGCTACTGGCGTCGACGGAATGAACAGATGATGTGTGAAAGTGAACCAAGTGAACATTTGGACTTTGAACTTGTAACTTGTTGAAGGAATAGGTAAACAACATTTTATTTTTGCGTTATGTTATCTTATATATAGCAAAACAATTGTGCTTCAACCATCTGAGGTTCGCAACATATCAGTATTTTTAATTTTGTAAAGATTTTATAGACCTGAAATTAAAATGAGCAGGTTGGTACAAGGAAAGTATATATATCTACTTAGTGTGTAACAATATTATTCACCTTTTATTTCCAACAGGTGTTTTTATCGTTGGAACGAAACGAACCCCTTTTGGAACATTTGGTGGAAAATTGGTAAATTCCTCTATAGCTGAACTTCAAACAGTTGCAGCAAAGGCAGCTCTTACTTCTGCAAATGTACCATTAGAAGCGGTCGATTCGGTAATTATTGGAAATGTTCTTACGGTGAGTATAAAAAGAAATTAATTACCCTGTATGTGTAATCATTATTGATATATAAATGTAGCTTTATTTATCACGACCTTAAAAATTGTTGCATCTGTTGAAAAAATAGTTCTGTAGCTTTTGATGTATTTGGGAACATACTATTGATATAAAACATGCAACTTTAAATAGAGGAGGTTTCTCTTTTTACAAGTTAATTTCACAATAGAAAACAAATTAAATGATAAGTATAATACGGTATTTCTTACAAGATTAAATTAGAAAAAAAAAATGTTTTGTTGGGTTAGAAAAAGATAGGTAAATAGGTACCTAGATATTTTATATACCTATTCTGAGAATCAGTTGAAAAAGAAGAAACTTTTGTCCCTATTTTAAAAAACCACCTAATAAATTTTTTGATAACTTAGATTTGTTTCTGCTACTCCTACTAAATAGTATATTATATAATATTCATATTATAAAAATTCCGTTTTTTTTTGGCTGTTTTCAAGTTAGAAATGCTATTTTTTATACTTGTATACTTCTTTTATGTTTATACTCGATGGCCGAAATTATAGATAGTGATTCATCGCTAGCTCTTGGTCTAGTAAGGAGGATGAGGCGTGCGGGGATCGAAAATCCATAGGCGTGTATACGTAAAAGGCAACAAGATGTAGAAAATATGGAAAAAATATAATAAAACATAACATTATTTTTAGAGGTTGTATCGAGAAAACTTCAAAAATATTTTAGTAACATTTTGTTTTTAAATTTTAAGTGTTTTCTATAAAACGATGCCCTCTTGGGCATCGATAACCCACCACCACCCGGCTTACGCCGCCGCAAAATATTGTAATGTTTACTATTAATATATTTATTTAAGTAGGTACTTACATATTTTATAATAATTATCTCACGAATATTATCACTGTCACACTTTCACTTCACTGCCACATAATCACTTCACTATTAATATATTTAAATACTTACATATCACATTATTCACATTATATATTTCACATATCACTGTTGCTATCACTATCACTAGAATCATCTTCACCCAAATGAATAATGACTGGTTCTATGAACACTTCTACCGTTGTATCAAGATCCCACATACGTTGTTCCTCTTTCTGTGCATGTCCAATACACTTACACCATGTTTCAGCAGTGACGTGATTAATAGCATCCTGTAATAATAATTTCACGTCGTTTATTTTAAAGGTGGTGTTTTTTCGTGCGATTTCATTCTTTATTTGTGCCCAAACCAACTCAATTGGGTTTAATTCACAGTGGTATGGCGGTAAACGGAGTACACGAATTCCTCGATCTTTGGCCATCTCATCCACTACATACTTAATGTATTGACCTTTTTCTCTTTGGACAATTTTTAATAATTGTACTTTTAGCATGGTTTCTGTATATTCAATATTTTTCGATTGTAACCAGTCCATAATATTTCCTTTTCTCCATGCTGATGTCGGTAACATTTCAACTCTTCTACTATGATAAGGTGCGTTATCCATCACAACAACTGCTCCTGGCTCCAGATATGATAAAACATATTCAAACCATTTTTCAAACACGTCGCTGTTCATATCTTCATGATAATCTCCCGTTTTTCGTGACTCAAATACATGCAAACCATTTTCTAAAAATCCCGTATCGCTTCCAATATGTGTTATAATCAATCTTCGTCCTTTTCCAGAAGGTGCCTTTAATCCAGTAGAAAATCCATCTAAAAATGCTTGTCTCTTACTCTTAACATTACCATCCTGCCAAACTTTTGATATAGTATGACCTTCGTTTACCTATGTTTCATCCATGTAATATATCTTCTTACCAGATGCACGAAGTTCTCTTATTTTTTCTAAGTATTCTCTTCGCCATACCACCATTTTTCTTCTTTTTCAACGAGCATACTATTCCGATTCCGTTTCAAATATCGAAAATTCATGTCACGCATTATTCTTCTAAGAACCTTATCAGAGAAATTAGGAATATCCTCATCTTCAGCTATTGCAGCTTGAATTTTCTATATCGTTGGTATTTCATTTCTAAAGAAAAATCCATGAATTTTCCTACGTATGGAGTATTTCACGTCAACGTCGACTTCTATTTTCTTCCTCCCTCGTGTTTCCACTTTTTTTTCTTTGGATTCACTTCTACACTAATTTTTATGGCACGATAAACAGTAGCAACGGATACTTTTGTCAACGAACTACACATATCAACAGCTTCACTTACACTTGTATTAGAATTTCGCGACCGAATTCCTTTATACACCTTTTACCATTATTAATTCCGCATCGCATAGGTTAGGGCGTTTATGAGCAACAGACCGTTTGCTACAACCGGCACTTTGATCCATTCTAATTATTATTCCTACGTTTTAAAACGTCCCGATTGTATTTTTTTAATTTATAAATTTACTATAGTCACGGAATATGCAAACCCTCGCGCGCGCTTATAGTTTGACGTTTCTAACTACGGCTAACTCGAATTCTACGTACGTCCGTTTACACCCACTAAAAAGAGCATTTCCCTATCTGTAATAAGTGCGATAGACAGAGATAAATCGCGTTCAGTGTAACTCAGTCTATGACTGTTATAGATCCTATCGATGTGCAAAGAGAGCGGCACATCATTTAACATAAGCAAATAACATTGAACCGTTGTAAAAATAATTTTAAGTTTTATACACTTTACGGTAATAGTGTTTCTATATTATATATGAATCACTATCAATATTTTCGGCCGTCGAATTATAATTTAAAATGAACAACAAATATTTTTTTTATTATTCCATATAGCACATACAGTTATATAATTACGAAATTCGCGGACATCATCATCTGTGGGATCATATTAAGCTAGATAAGGTGATTAAAAAGTGTCTTCATGATTTTTCAAAAATAATAAAAGTATATATTTATAAATTTCAATTTTCAGTCATTATAAACAATTACGACAAATGAGTTACAACAATTGTACAAAATTTCCACCTTCTGCTGTTAAACATGCTTCAGCACGTGTGCTACTGCTCAAATGGAGTTGCGTATCATCCCTGATGTTATTGCTGTAGGTACTAATTGAAATAGACGGTTATGCAATTCATTCAAATTTGCCACTGGTGTTCTGTACAAACGTATTTAGGAAGCCCCAAAAGAAAAAATCACATGGCGTTAGGTCTGGAGAACGAGGTGGCCAAGCAAATGGACCGCCATAGAGGATGCCTCATAGCGTACAACAGCACTGCTTCACCTGCACGATTATTTGAAGCTCCGAGAGCCAGCAGCATATAATATTCATAATTTGAATAATTGTGGCCCATTATTTTGCAGATTATATTGACAGGTACTTTTACTGTACTCTACTGAATGTTAAAGTATCGATAATGCTAATTGTCATTAATTGTTACAAAGCCGTCTATTTCAAACAATACAACAAATAAGGCCAGAGATGGTACGCAAGTCTGTTCGAGCAGTAGCACAATGTACTGAAGCATGTTTAGCAGGTGGTGGAAGTTTTGAACAATTGTTTGTCATAATTGTTTATGAAATGATTTAAAATTGAAAATTTTTATTTGGATATTTAAAACTGCCGTATCTCGAAAAATATCGGTCTGATTGAAAAATGATGTAGACATTTTTTTATGACCTTATCTAGCTTAACATGATCCCATAGTCCGTGTCCACGAATTTTGTAACACACTGTATATGTGATACTTGAGTCCTCTAGTATCAAAACCCCTTAAATCCGTTTTTGATGAAAAATGAGTTATACGCAGCAAAATATTCCTACTAAAATTCCCTATTGAAGTGTTCATTCGAATGATTGCAAAAGTTACCTAATATGTATAAAAATGTACTCTAAAAAGTGTGTTTAGATTCAAACGCCACGAAATCCATNGCGTTTTAGGGCGCATGTTAATAGGAACTTTTTGGCTTATTTTAATGAGTTACAAATGCAGCAGAAGTTTGGAACCCTATTTTAGAAACACCCTGTATAATAAGTGTCAAAACGGTACCGCTGTTGTACTATTACAATTATGAGTGGAAGTGGGAAGGTAACATTTTTGAAATTTATTTGATTCTTTGACTTGTTGATAGAGCTGATTCATGTGCCAAAGAAATTCACGAAGTTTGCAGCAGTGTAAAACCAAACCGTTTACAAATAAATTCATGAATTAATTCATGAAGAACTTCGTGAATTTATTTATGAATAAACTGTACATGTAAAACAGCTATAAGTAAATAAATTGCAGTAGTAATAACCTACAGGTTATAAATATATATTAATTTTAATATTTATTACAAATGGGTATCTTTCCACACAGGAAATTAACACAGGTGCTTCTAATATAGTCCTAACGGGAGGTGTAGAAAATATGTCTGCTATGCCATATGCTATACGCAATGCAAGGTTTGGAGTTCCCTTGGGTGTAAGCCCTGTATTAGAAGATACCCTTTGGGTTGGGTTAACAGACACATATTGCAAACTACCCATGGCTTTAACAGCCGAAAAACTTGGAGAGCAGTATAAAATTACTAGAGATGAAGTTGACGAATTTTCATTAAGGTCACAACAGCTTTGGAAACAAGGTCAGATTTATGTTACTGTAGTTGCTACATTTATATCTCAAACATATTAAGTGGTATCAAACATTACAATTTTTGTTGGTCATGCTGATAAATTTATCAACATTTCTGTGATTAAATTAAGCTTTTTATACTTATAAAGTATGATCTGCAATTGCTTTACAAGATGATGTGATTATTTATTATCTGAAATTTAATAATACATACTTGTTTTACTTATAACAAAATTTTAAAAGCTGTACTTAAAAAGCGTTTTAAAATTTCAATATTTTTTATGTCTGGTTTTATCATATTTAATATCAATTCTATGGTTTAAATCAGTGGCGGTTTTACCATAAGAGCTGCGGAGCTGCAGAACACATAAAATTTTATGTATTTAATCATATTAAATGTCAACAAAATATTTAAAGAATCCAAATGTACTCTCGCTAAAATAAATCTAGGAGCTTATATTATTATTTATTACGACGCGAGCTACGCTCCTTAATATATGCAACCATATACAAAATGTGTGCACAGCGAACAATTAGATGCGTCCTTTGTTTTTATTGGCTAATCAGGCACGTGACCCAGTACACGAACATAATGGGTTTATGTGGCTGCAACAGCGACAGCCACTGCTGCAGTAAAGTAAATGCAGTAATATTTCGTACGTAGCGTGTGGTGGTTTATTTCAGCGGCACGTGTGAATATTCTCGTTTAGGCGTCTACGGATGTTATAGTTATTAAAATGAATAGCGTTTCGTTTTTACAAAAAACTTTATTTGGTTCTCTGCCTTATGAGGATAAACTAAAAATAAAAGAAGTAAAAGTTATAAAAAAACAATAATGTATACACAAAAGCAGAGTGGGTGTGCGGGTGTGATTTAAAATATTCACTGTTTTGTTTTCCGTGCTTACTTTTCGGTGGGGATAAAGCATGGACAATATACAGTGTGAAAGATTTAAGTCATTAAGTCTTTAGGTAAAATAAACATAAGAAGTCAGTTAGATTCTGCATATTGGGATAATATACGGAAACATATGAACAGGTAATGAAAAATCGTCATGTATTATTTAAAATCATAGATTGCATAAAATTTTGCGGAGCTTTCGAATTAGCACTTCTCGGACACGACGAGACAGAAAATTCGGACAACCCTGATGTGTTTCGTGGACTCATAAATTTTAGTGT